CCCATCCCCACTGTGGCCTGACCCTGGACGGGGGATGGAGCCTGAAACTGAGGTACATGCCGTTGACCAGAATAGAACTCGTGACCCTTTAGTCTGTGGGCCAACACTCTTAGACACTGAGAAAAACCAGCTAGAACTATTTATTTATTTATGTATGTATGTATGTATGCTTATTTTTTTTTTAATGTTTTTATTGATTTTTTTGAGAGAAAGGAAGGGAGAGGGGGAGAGAGAAGAGAGAGAGGGAGACATCCATCGGCTGCCTCCTGCATGCCCCCCACTGGTAATTGAGCCCACAACCTGGGCATGTGCCCTGACTGGGAATTGAACTGGCAACCTTTCAGTAAATAGGACTACACCCAACCAACTGAACCATACTAGCCAGGGCAAGATGAGATTTTTAATGGACATCTCTGAATATGTATGTCTGTATGTTCCACACCTACTCCATCACCATCTTCACTGTTGTATGTGACAAATAAGAAAGGAAACATTTTTGACTCCTCGCTACAATCTCCTTAGCTTCTGATGTGAACAACTGAATCCAGAATGCCTTCCATTTCCCTGAAAAGTTATTTTCTACTGCATTGTAATTTCTGGCTTGGGTAATGTTCTTTGATCTCTAATGTTCCTTTTATGCTTCTTTTATAGGAGGCCAGTTATAAGAACTCCACACCCATCCTTCTAACAAAAGACTTAGAAAGAGATGTGCAAAAACCATCTCCAAAAACCAAGGTAAGATATCTGATCATTAGGCTTCCACATGAACCATTTAGCAAAGCTCTGTGTGTTCTTGTTTCTCTGATGTGTTACCTATACTTCCCTCAGCCTTTTTTTTTTTCTGGACCTGGTGGTATAAAAAACACTTTTTATTTAGATCATTTAGTCGAAAGTTATATTCATCCAAAAATTATCTCGACACTCCAGTTATTTATAGAAAGTGATTTTTTGTTTGTTTGTTTTTTGTTAATCCTCACTCTATAATATTTTTCCATTGATTCTTTTGGAGAGAGTGGAAGACAGAAAGACAGAGTGAAACATCGATGTGAAACACATCGATTGGTTGCCTCCTGCACATGCCCCGACCAGGGTCCTAGCCTGGGAGGAGCCTGCAACCAAGATATTTGCCCTTGACCAGAATCAAACCCGGGACCCTAGTCCACAGACCAACTCTATCTACAAACCAATGTGTTGAAAGGCTGGGGCTGGTTTAAATGACTTTTGGAAAGTTAACAGAGGGCAGCATGAGGCCGACATCATGGCCGTGGGGGCCTGGGCTGGCTGGCAGGGTGGGGGTCCTTGGAGTTCTCTTTCAAACCTAATTGACAGCAGGTGAAGTGAGTGGAGACCAGTGGAGATGCCACGCAGGTGCCCAACGGGGTGGTAGCAGGTTTTTGGGGTGTCTCTCCAGTCAGACACAAGACAGTGACTGAGGGGATTCAGGCTAAATACTGAGCGTTGGATTTGAGTCCCGTGGGACACACGGAGGAGGAAAACAGCACTTGGCTGCTTTCATAACTGC